CTGGGGAGTAGTGGTAAACTTCACACCACAAACAGGAGATGCCACAAGCAAGAGGCTTTTAAGTCCACAGCTTCTGTGGAACAGGCAGAATGTACATGCTGCATCAGTGGACCTATACACATGCAGCAGGCGGACAAAGACGCCAGGTAATGTGACCATCGGTGGACAATAACAAGCAGGTGACAGAGCCTCCTTATATACAGCGGCACTGCCAGCAATAAATCAGCAGATTCAAAACGGGCATAATTAATCATCGAGAGCAGGCTTAAATCATCCTGCTACACATGCGAGAAAGGGTAATTTCATGCAATGCTCTGACTTGATTTTCCTGACATTGCCTAGAGTTTGTGTACATTACCTAAAAGAAGTCACGTTACATTATACTTCCAGTCCATCTGATATACTTGTTTTTAATCTCAGATTGGACAAAATTAGGGATAAATATATCAGAGAGACAGCCCAGCTTGAATGTTTTGGAGACAAAATTAGAGGCAAGGCTGAGATGATTTTGACATGTGCAGAGGAGAGGCAGCTGATATGTTGGACAAAGGATGTTGAAGATGACACTCCCAGGCAGGAAAAGAGGAAGACCACAGAGAAGATTTGTGGATTATGTGAAGTCGAACACGCACAGGTTGGCGTGACAGAGGAGGATGCTAGAGATAGGAGAAGATGGAAGCAAATGATTGGGTGTGGTGGCCCTAAAGGGAGCAGTCAAAAGAAGAAGCTGGTTCAAGTCAAACCTTAATTTTAGATTAATAATGAGATATATCAGTGTTGAGTATTAATCATATAATATCTGTTTAAAGAGATTATTTAAAAAGCAAAGTTCGGGTAAAGCTGATGGGATGTTATTAGATTAGCATGTGTTTACAACCAAAATATTGATCACAGCAGCCTATACTGCATCCCAAGGGGAACAATAATTAATTAATTAATAAATAAATAATACATCTATTATTCACAGAAATTTCTCAGCCTAGGCCAAAGTGGAAATGAATGACAGCTCAACAAACTCGCATTCAAGATTCCAACACATGGGATAATGTTTTCAATGATATGCACTTTGATCTCAGTTTTATTGATTCTGTCTGTCCTATGTGATTCTCTGGCACACCTAGGCCTGTTTGCCCTTTTTAAAAAAAAAAAAAAATTGTGCTGGTTCATTGGTTACTTAACGCTGCTGTATGTTGTTCAAAAATAAGCTCACCAACTTATTGATATATTTTCTGACATACAGTAAACTATTAACTGATTTAGCCAGGGTACATGTGTGTTTCTTTGTAAGTGTGGACTGTTCAGTTTCTTTATCAGGCAGTGTTAGCAGCCGTGGGCAGCTGCTGTAGGGTTTTCTGCATTCAGAGGTGACTTGCTGGTCCCTCCTCCACTGGTTTCTACTTTGGTATGCACTGATGTAGGACAGAACTCTCTAATTTCTAGCAGTCATTTTGTAGGTGTACTTTTGGAATGGGGCCATCTACATGCATCACCCTTAAGTCTTCAAGCATCACGTCACCCACTGTTTCAGCTCGAAACTGCGTAGTAACAAAGATGCTTGTATGTCCCGCTTTCAGTGGTGTGAGGCTTTATGCAGCCCGATAGAGTCAGAACAAAGTGTCTCACAGCAGAGTCTGGAATGAGGGAAAATATCTCATTCCAGAGATGTTTGCATCTAAATGATTATCCTTTTCTTTATTTTGCGCTTTCCTTTGACCTTCAAGTGACCAAGTAGGGTGATTTATATCCCCGAGTCTTATGTTTCTATATGTGACACTATCATATTTTTTTAAAATCATAAAAATGTTGAATATAATGAATGTATTGATCTACTTCCTCTGCAACTTTTAGCATCTTGGGTAATGGAAAAATCACTTGTGGGTCAAACAGTCACTAGCCACTTTAGTTACATCTTGCTAGTACGAGGTTGGACTCTTTTGTACCTCATCTGCTTCAATGTTCTTGTGGATTCACAGATGCTCTTCTGCCTAATTTGGGTGTTTATTAGAGTTTCTATTGCTTTGCTGTCATCGTGAAGCAGTCTGACTATTCTCCTCTAGCCTCTGTCACTTTAAGCATTTTCACCTAAAGAACTGACACTCACATGATATTTCCTCTTCTTCAGATCTATCTCTGTAAGCCCTAGAGATGATTGTGTGGGAATATCTCAGTAGAACAGCATTTTCTGAAATACTTATACAGCCCATCTGGCATCAACATCATGCCACATTCAAGATCATTTAAATCAGCTTTCTTGCCCATTCTGATGGTCGGTTTGAATTTCAAGTATTCATGGCCATGTCTGCTTGGCTACATGCACTGTTGTCATGTAATTGGCTGAATAAATGTCTGTGTTATTGATCAACTCAATGGGTGTACTTAATAAAGTGGCTGGTGAGTGCATATCACACTGGAAATAGATTTTTCAGAGGTATTACTTTTATTGTAATTTGTTGGTAATTAGTCAAAATGTAAACATTCTGATGGTAACCATTTTCAGATATTTCATTAATCTGCAAAGGTGTTTTGAATATTTTAAATATTACACATCTAAAAAATAAGATGTTTGTTTAGGTTTTGTTTTAAACAGAAACATGGAAGTAGCAAATGATGGACATATACCCAATATCACGACTTCACTGTAACTTGTAAAATGTAGTATTTTTGGAGTCACCAGCACAGCTACATCTTAGTGATAAGATGATCCCAGTATATTATACAGAACTTTAGTTTTAAGTATCTAAATGAATGTTGTTTTGTTCATTTTTTTTAAATGTAAAATTGATTGAAAACCAGAAATAATATTAGAGCATTTGAACATATCTGTCATATATGAAGAAAAAGCATGTATTTGACAAATAGTTTATCAAATATGTATTCCGATTTTTTTACAAGAATTATGCAACGCTTCTTTCGACTGCTCTTTCATGCTGTTACGTTTGAAAAAATGTATTTATATTTTTGCTGGTTTTTAAAAAAGAAAGGAAAAAAGAAAAGAGAAAGCAAAAAAACAAAACAAAAAAACGAGTAAACCACAAAACTATAGAGCCAGCTTTTTGAATAGTTGCCTGTATATCTTAGAGATTTGTGTGCACAGCTAAAATAAAAGTGTAGTGATCTAACTGTGATAAATCACACAACTTTCAAAATGACAGACGGAACTCACTATGGATGCAAATTTCTTGCTGTCGCTAAATAACGCATGTTATTTAGCGACAGCAAGAAATTTGCATCCATAGTGTTAGCGACAGTTTGCTTGGAGTCTACTTAGAGCCTATATACGTGGTTAGCATGTTATAGTGTTTCATGTGTGTGAATGTTTGCACAGAGAACTTTTGGCTCACCGTTTGATGACAAATTGTAGGTCACTCGGACCCAAGTGGATTGTGGTATACTGGCAGACATGGCAAATATAACACTGGCACTGCTGTTCTTTACATTGCCACAACTTCTTTGTTGGCTGTTTGGTGTTGACCACTGGTTTTGAGTGGAGTAATATGAAATCAGGAGCAAGGTGTGAATAGAGCTACCTGTTTGTCATCAGGTGCATTTGATATGTTAGGTGAACAGGGCCCCACCTGTAAAATTGGCTAAAAACTACACAGCTAAAAATGTAACAATTAAAAATGAACCAGTATAATATTTACTTATTTATTTATAGCTATTTTAGATTTAGATTTGTGTAGATATTGATATAAATTTATGGTGTGAGAGTGAGCTACAGAATTCACTTGGAATCAAACTGTAAATAAATTTGATAAACATCCATCCAACCATTCTCTTCCGCTTATCCTTTTCGGGGTTGCGGGGGGCTGGAGCCCATCCCAGATACCATAAGGCAAGAGGTGGGGCACACCCCGGACAGGTCGCCAGCCTGACACAGAGAGGCAGACAACCACTCACATTCACACTTATGGGCAATGTAGATTCTCCAATTAACCTAACCCCACCAATTACATATCTCTGGTCTGTGGGAGGAAGCGGGAGTACCCGGAGAGATCCCACACAAGCACAGGGAGAAAATGCAGACTTCTATTTTGATAAACAGTCAATTTAAATTATACAATTTAAAAAAACGAACTGTATTATTTTTTTGTTTTTTTGCTGTATGTTGTCTTACAAAAATATACAACATCACATGCAAAGTTATTACAATTTATTGCAGCGCTATCGCCAATTGCTGATTTATTATTTTTGCAAATGACATCCTCCTTCACTAACAAGCCACGTGTCTGTGGCAGGAAGAATGACTTCTAACAAAGGAAAAGCCTGCATGCATCTGCCCACTTGTATGTGTCTTTGTATCAGCACCATTTTTCAGTTTAGAGGAGGTTTCTGATATAATCACAGCTTTCAACCAATAATCACTCAGCAGCGAGTTGAAGAGGGGTTAAATGATGAAACAGTGTTTCATTTGCTTTGCCTGAGCTGATTAACCAGGCTGTCCTGGAATTTCTGTGACACCAGAGGCTCTTCCTAACTGACTGATAGGATATTACCATGACTATGGTACTGGCATGACCTTATGTGACTGCTTTGATTTCTGGGATTTTTCAACAACAGGCTAAAAATATAATTGAAATCTTTTTTTCCTGCACATTTAAACATATTAGGATTATTTAATAGGATTTAAAAACACATAATTTGTTTTTAAAGTGTAAAGTTTGCTTTTGTTTTATAAAGCACTACAACGGGCAGGATTTTTGCAAAACTGACACAAACTGTTGACGTGTTCAGGATATACCTTGCCTTTAACCCCATTACAGCTGAGGTAGGTTCCACTCTTCCAGTGGTTTCGGAGTAATATTAAAACAATTTCCATTGTTTTATTTGTGCTTTAGTTTTAAAGGAATTTTATAGAAAACAAAGGAAAGAGAAACCGAGAGGTGAAACGTACTTTTTCAGCACAGAGAATTACTTTTGTATGTAGATATGTTAAAAATGTGAAAGTAGTTTGGTCAGGAGAAGCATCGTCTCACTGTTTTTGTCTTTCTTCCTCCTAGGGGAAGTTGGTAAAGTACTTCAGCCGCCAGCTGTCCTGTAAGTGCAAAGTGGCCTTAGAGGAACGCAGTGCCGAGCTGGAGGACTTTCCTCGCCTCGGCCACTGGTTCCGCATTGTCAACTTGAGGAAAGAGGTCACACAGGTAAGCCGTGATACCACGTAGTAACCATTTTTTACACTCAAAATACATCTCATGATCATTGCTTCAAAGTCAAAATTTCAGATGATATTTTTCTGATTTGTGTATTTGACAAACTGTTCCAAGAACTTTTTAACACATTGCCTTTTTCTGCTTTCTCTCTTTTTTTTAAAAAAAAAAAAAAATGTTTTGTACAGATTTGAATAAAGTTTTTATACTTAACATTTAAACATTTCACTGTCACTATCAGATTGTAGCTTTTAGCAGTTGAGGTTTCCATACTGGTGACTGAGAGCGAAATCTGACAGCTCATATCACCCTCTGGCTAAAAGCTTACTAAAATGCTGTAAATGCCATAGCACTGAGTTTCGAAGTTTTCGTGTACTAGTGGAGTCTCTATGCATCTCATACTGGGCCTTTGTGTATCACCTCAGCTCACCCACTGGCAGAAAGGAGCTATTTTAGCCCCTTTCTTTATTGCTTTAAGCAGGAGGTTTTAGCAGTATGTGCGGTGTCGGAGATGTCCATATAAACATATGCACTGTGATTGACATCGTGGAGAGTCATGAGTGGAAACAACTGATGTTGAGCTGATATAGATCAATTGTTTCATGAGGATTTGGTTTACAGGGATTACTTGTAAGTTTGATGGCCTCATTATAGAAAATCCTGATCATCCTTAATGTTGTTACACTGTATAATAAAGAAAATTATCTATTACTGTAACTTATTCCATTAAATGTATATCTAAATATCTAGGTTTTTGAGCTAGATGTGTATTTGTGGTGGTCTTTAAGCTGCATGCATGTTGCATGTGTATATTTGATAGGAAATGAGTCCAGGTGAGGTGACCCTGGAGGGCTTGCTGGAGATGAGCGAGGAGCAGGTGTGTGAGCTGCTGCAAAAGTTTGGTGCCAGTGAAGAGGAGTGTGCCCGTCTCAACGCTTCCCTCTCCTGCCTCAGAAAGGCCCACCAGCTCGGTGAGAGTCCACTCAAAACACTCACAGATGAGCTCATACGCTCACACACATGGAAAATACTAATCTTTATATAACGTTATCACTGTTTGTGTTCACTAGATATTAGGATATTTGTGTCTAACCAATGAAATAAACTATGAATTATTTTCTGTGCACACTAAGAAAGTTCACTTATAGTGCGTTCAGACTGTATGGGTGCATACTGAATATATGGTATTTTTAAAAATTTTCAATTTTTCTTTTATAGCTTTTATAACTACACCCAGATTAAATATTCTTTTTATATACTCTCCGAGCATATATTTCTGTTTTCCAGTTTTCCAGACAAAAGGAGTTGTCTGGAGAACTTGATTTGTGATTTGCTTGAGTTGGATGATACATCTTGGGGAGCAAATGTTCACCTTTAGTTATGTTGAATTGCTTGTTGATTGGTTTGTTAGGAACTCGTGCATTATAGAGGGCGTTAGGCACATAGAGAGGGGGTGACATACATAATAATACTTGTCCACATTCACAATAGACTGCTGATTTTACAGTAAATTCATGACTTTTCTCAGACATATAACGGATCAATAAAAACTACTTTTAATGTGCTCTCACTACACAAATTACGACATATCACTTACAGTACTGAATTGCTGACTTCTAAAATTATTGATATTGATCTATAAACCTATACTGGTGTTATTAGGTCAATCTGATCCACCCTGGAGGTCCCATTGTTTTTAAGGTTATCAAGGATAGGGGCAATGCCTGAAGTGACAAACCAGAGCTTTTGTGCACAATTATTAGAGCAATGTTATTATAATCAGCATTTGCTGACTAAATGGCTCATGGCTGCAATTTACGCTTTTGCAGTGTAGATTAGGAGTTATTTTTTTCAAATCTCACTTTGGACTGATAATGATGAGGACATTTATCCAAAGAATGCAAATGTTGTTCACGCTGACCATAAAATTCTGATGCTTTTACTGACATTTAGGATTTATGGGGTTAAATATTAAGAGATTTTAATGAATTAATTAAATGATTACAAATTACATGAGATAAAGATAAGACAATATGGTAATTTGTAATCATTTATTCACTGAATAAAAAAAAAAAATCTGTTACAGTTTTTTTTGTTGTTGTTGTTTTTTAAGATTTGTTTTTATATTTTTTCCCATTTATATAGTTTTTTTCCAAAACAGATTTTCACATTAATTTTTTTTAATCTTTCATTCCATATTCTCAGTTGTCATCAGTTTCAAACGTTAGTTTTTGTATGTTAACTGTCAAGCAGCAAAACATAAGAAGGTCAGAACAGGTATTATAATACAAACATTATTAAGACAGTAAAAATATTCACCAAAGCTTCCTCAGATTGGTTGTGTTGACAAATTTCACTTAAATAACAATGGAAAGGTTTACTGTATGTTTTATTTTTATTTTTGCCAACAGCCAGTATTATTTCATTTTTAAGTATAGTTTTTATTAGTATTTCCATTGAATATAATACATTTTCACATATCGTTTTAATTTAGTTTATTTGTATTGAACTTAATATCCTGGGTAGTGAGGTGTTTCATGGGGTGATGATGAAAAGCTGTTTTTGTGAATGGGAAACGTATTACTTATTAAAAGTAAACTCACTTATGAAGTGACATTCAAGCCTCAATATATTTAGTGAAATTGCTGTTGTTTCTATAGGTGGTGCTGTTTTCTTTTGTTCACTACCAACAGATCTGCCTTTCCTCTCAGCCTCTTCTTAATTTATTCATAGCACAATGAACTAAAACACTACATATACAATACAACACCATCCCTGCTTCTATGCTACATCCAGTGTGTGAATGTGTGTGTGAATGTGTGTGTGACTGGATGTGTAAAGCGCTTTGGGTCCTTAGTCCTTAGGGACTAGTAAAGCGCTATACAAATACAGGCCATTTACCATTTACAACTGTTTTCAGAAAGACAGGATAGATATGATAGATAACATGATAAGACATTCTGACTCAAAATATTTAGAATAACACTTTTTCTGAAATGTATAAACAATATGGTATTCCTGTAAATTATCAATACAGAGAGCAGTGTGTTCTTGTCCTTTAGTCATGTGCAACATTAATTTGGTAAAATGCTTATGTCTTTATTTTCTGTTCTCAGCGGGGCCAGACTGTCAAAAATGAAACAGGAAGTCAGATGTGTATCATTGCTTTGTGGTATTAACATATCATACACTGTCGGTAAATATGCAAAATTACTGCACTGATGCATTTGTTTAAAATAGCTGTTTTTAAGAACTGGTTCCCATGGTTCATCCACTTGTTCTAATTTGTTATTAGAAATGGAAGTGCATATTTCTTAGCAGAGCATATTGTGATAGCATATTGCCTCCAGCTGAGCAATAGAAATATGAAATCTCAAAGTCAAACCCTTGTATTAAATGTCATTTTGTGCATTACATTATTACTGCGGCCTCACATACCTTTAACAATGATAAATCTATGCAATTATGGTTAAAATTATAAAGATATTTTTAAAAGAATATTTTTTTAATCTCCCATTTTGGAGAGACATTTTGTAAAAATTGTAGTTGTCTCAGTAATATAAACTGATTCTATATTTTCCCCCCCCCCTTTTTATTTATTATTTTATTTTATTTATTTTAAAATCAAATGTGGCTGTTGGTAACAGAATTACATGCATAGGTATGTGCTGTGATGCAACAAGTGTGTTTGGTTTGTTACATGGTTGGCCCCCAGATGGCATAAACGGACCACATTTTGTTTTCAGTCATAACTATGACTTTTGCAATGATTCAGCTGAACCAGAAGGGGGCAGTAGAGTATCACTAAAATTAGGGTGGACGTTTTAGTAACAACCTTTAGTACACCCGTTAACATAGCATATCTGGTTCTCTTCGACTCCCACTCACACACAGAGCCACACACACCCACACATACACCCACATACCAGTAAGAACATACGCGCGCACACACACACACTCTGTTTTGTAACAGATGTCCTTTCAGACAGAAGACTCTGCTGAATAATTAAGCAAATTAACTTGATGAGTAGTTTTACTTCAGTGTGCCCTAAGCAAAACTGTACTTCATTAAAAGAGTGTTTTATTAGAGGAGGTGTAACATTCAGTTGCTGTTGACATTCAGACGAACAGGTCTTTTACTGCACAGTCTGAAAATCAGGCTCTTTGTTAGGCTGCTGGTGCTCGGCTGTCCTCTCGAAATATTCATGCTCTCTGCTTGTTTTTCAGTCAGTCTGCTGCTCTTGCCCACCTTCCTGTGTGCTTCTCAAACTTCTCTTTTTCCCTCATCAGTTCGACTGGGTACCGGGAAAGATAATATCCAGAAAGGCAAACAGGCCAACCCCGTCTCATAGCAAGCAGTAATGCCTATGCTGTACCACACTGCAAAACACGTGACTTTTCCATAAAGGCTGATAAATTGTAACTTGTGTTTTCTGGCCTGTTGTTTTCTATTAGCTGGTTGCAGTGTCACATGATTCCCGAGTGTTACATTTAAAGTCCCATTACTAGATGTTGCTTCGTTTTTATGTATTTAAATTAGTTTTTATTAGCTATGTAAATTTTTTTTGCCTTTTTCTTTTTGGTATGTTTATGCCGACTTTGATTTTAACTCTTTCTTCATTTAGGTTGGCACCAAAACTAGAGTTGGTGCTGTAGACCATTACATATTTTACTTGAAGACTGTCAACTCCAGTTTCAGAGCAGTGGAACCGCCTGATGGCAGAATCCATCAGGGGGTTCCACTCAGCGATGCCTCAGTCCTTCACGGTTCACACCGACAAGGCTTTAAACATCACTGGAGACCATGGAGACCAACTCACCTTTGTCATAACTGTCTATGACACTTCCTTCAATCTGATTTTGAATAAATGCAAAAGTTGAGGAAGCTGGGCTGCATTCATAGCCAGGATACATGTGGAACATTGATGATAACACATTTTAATGATGATTTCCACATAAAATGTTATAACTGGGGAATAGTGTAACCTAACAATAGCTGTGTAAAAGTACATATGAAGGCTACAAAGTACACATACTTTTGAAACAGATGGCATAGATCCAAGTGTTAGTCCACTGTGTGAAAAGCCATTCCTGACCTTTATTTAGTGTCATCCATTACAAGATGACTATTGCCAGGCAGGAGATGTTTGTCTGGCTGCAAATATCTTCTGTACTAAAAATAAACAATTATTTGATTATTTAAAAAAAAAAAGGGGGGACACACACAAATAAAGCTCAGCAATGTTTTTACACATTTACTTTCTTTGAGAAATCTTTGAATAAAAACCTGCTTTTGATAAAAATCAAACGAAGCCATAACAGAAAACATCCTTAATTGAAGGTCTGCTGTCTTCTTTGTCTGGTCACACATGAAGTATTCAGTACAGCTGCTGCTCCTCTCTACTGAGGGTGTTGCTTTGTACCAGTAGTCCCCTTAATGTCTTAAATGGTTTGTACAAAGTTTGACTAAAACACCCTGGTGTCGCTGGGATAATTATAGTGTTTCCCACTGATTTATCAGTGTCTCTTCTGGCCTTTCTTTTTGTGTTTTGGAACTCTTTCACAGGAAACTTGTCTCCAACTTTTTTTATTTGTTTTACCCAAACAAACCTAAAACTGGGAGTTCCACTAAATGATAACAAAAAACACCTCAAAAAGTTGATTCTGTTCATCTGGATGTAGCTTTTTCTTTCTTTCTTTTTCTTTTTTTTTTTTCTTTTTACAGCTTAAAAAAATGAAACCAGGAATGTCATTGATTTAACTTTATCCGACTAATATTATTTCAGCAGAGAAAATAAAATTGGTGCATAACTTTAAAAAATGGTATGATAGGTTCAGTCTTATTTTTCTCATATAAAATGTAATACCAGTTTTAAAAGCAGAAGCACTAAACCTGAAAACCCGAGCAAATCTTTGAGCACTGATAGAAATTTCCCCACCAGATGTCACATGACCAAAGTCTATTATGACG